TCAGGATAGGTTAGGGCCCTCACATATGTGGGTGGTGATTTCCAGAGGCAGAGAGGACAAGTGTTAACAGTAAACTGTATTTTGTTGAAGAATGCTTACATCAATATATGATAGTTCCAGTAAAGATGGAGTTCTGTCAGAGTTGCTGTATATCCTCAAAGTCAGTCTCTGTCTCTCTCTCTCTCTCTCTCTCTCCCTTTTTTTGGTTCAGCTCCAAGGAATTGGTGAGTTCACAGTTGTAGAGTGGAACTTGAATGTAGGCAAGTTGGGCATCTCTTGATGTCAGCAGAGAAAATGTGATGATTAGCAGTAGAGGATTTCTTGGATCAAACAGGTAGATCGAATGATGTCTTTCATCCCACGGATAGTTTATGCTTTTTTGTCTCCCTGCCTTCTCCTCATTGGTTGGGTGTCCTCGTCCTTCACTCCCTTATTGGTCTCTCGACTGTCTCCAGGTGGAATTCCAGACCAGTTCTGTGAAAAGTGTGCCCAGGATGGTTTATCCAACACCATCTTTTCTCTGATTAATAGAGAATGTGTCAAGGTTCAGCATCAGTGTCTCAACATCTGTAAACCTGAAATCACACACAATTTTGTTGCTTTGATACTCGCATGGAGTCTTGTGGTGTATATTATACCATGTTTCCCCAAAAATAAGACATCCTCTGAAAATAAAACCTAGCATGGGTTTTGCTGAATTGCTAAATATAAGACCTCTCCCGAAAGTAAGACCTAGCAAAGTTTTTTTTACTCGTAATGGTCATCGACAAATGGTTGAAAGTGGCCATTGGCTTTTTGAAAGTACAGCCACTGATTGGTCAGCAGACATTCACACCACACGGCACGATTTGCATAAAACTATGGCTTGGGTATCACAGATTTGCATAATGTTATAGCTGGTGATGGCTAATTGGTTAGCCGGGAATCATGCCACATCACATTTGCATAGTGCTCAGCATTGCCATTCCTAGTACATTTTGCTTTTTCGAGCACATTGAAAGTACATTTAGATTTTTAGTACATTTTGAGTACATTATAATATTTCAGTACCATTTATGGTACAAAATAATATGTCATGTTTTAATGAGAAAATGCGAAAAAATTAGTTTAATAAAGTCTCTCTAGTGTGACTAGTGAGACTTTATTAACAAACATAATCCGTTCTAAAACTTTGTTCGCTATCTGAATTGTTCGTTTACCGATTATCGATTTACCATATGTTTTTATGGGAATTTGATTAATTCGTTCTGGAGACTCCAAAAAAATAAAAGATAAAAACTTTTTTACTATGTTTATTTATATGTGTAATAGTAAAAATACATATATACGCAGTCTTGCATTTTTATTAGTCATGTTTTCTCCGTTTGTGGGGCTAAAGAATCTGTCTAATGTCGATTGCTTTTCTCTCTTCTTCAGGATTTTTTAGAAGTAATTAATAGCATTGTAATTGTAGAGATCCTCAAGCCTATTAACCTTAACCTGGTTTTGATGCCATTCTAAGATAGTTCATCTGACATCTCCCACTTCTTCAAATAATAGCAGATATCGACATTAATCCTCTTTTTCAGAAGAAAAGCTATCTCGCCAAGTTTCTTGGTGTTCTTCATTCAAGAGTTCTTGGCGTTCTTCTGTCGTCAGATCAGTTTCAGGTTCCATTATGAGCTCTTCAATGTTCTTTATTTCTCAGATGTGATTTTTGTTACTCCTTTAGCTGCATGAGTCTTCTTGATTATACTGTATCTTTCTTAGATAAGATTGAACTGTGGCCTACTGTAGACCTGTTCAAACCATACCGTCCAGCAACGTCAGACATCTGCCCACTCTCTACCTTTGCTATTATACTCTCATCTTTCGAAAATAAAAACCCACGCAAAACTGAAGGAGTGCCCACCCGACGGTCTTGCGAATACTATAAAAGAATTGTTTCCGTCAGAAAATAAAGGGCTAGAATTACAAGGGAGAATTTCAAAGTTCGGAAGAATACCATCCGATCAGTATATGCCGAATTGAGCGTCGATGTGGACGTCTCCCATGCTCCGAAAAGTTTCGAATTGTTGCCCGAAGATAAGAGTAGACCAATCGGTATTCATTATTTTACGTTGCTTCTTCTTGTGTTTGTTCTGTGAGGTGTTCGTAATCCGGACATAAAAATTTTTTTCGAAAGTGTTTGTTAATCGATCACCCACTGTATTTATGAATATGAATTTCAAATAAATACAGAAATTGGGTATGAAGGTATATTAATATCAAAAGCAACCAACCATTGAAATAGTACATTTTTTAAAGGAGCTTCAGTATGTTTTGAAATTTCATTGTGGCAATGCTGATAGTGCTATGGTTCAGTAAGCACTAATTGGTCATCGAGCCCGATGGCGACACTATAAAAAGGTTAAGTTGAAGCGAGAGTGGGAAGTCTACTCCAGCACAGGAACTTCATAAGTTCACTTCGGTTTTATTTAAGTTCAGTTTGACGCGACTGGATATACATCACTCTCATCTAAGTTCAACTTGGAAATTTTTTTGTTCAATAATAAATGTGAATTCTTCATGGAAAAAATAAGACATCCCCTGAAAGTAAGACCTAGTGCATCTTTCAGAGCAAAAATTAATATAAGACACTGTCTTATTTTTGGGGAAACACGGTAGCAGTTCAAATGCATGTTTCCGGCGTCACAGTTGATTTATGATCGATCATCAACGTTATTGTGTGTATAAAGATATAAATATATTATTTTATTTTATTGTGATAAAATACAGCAATCTTTAGTTTTTACAATGGGTGATTGAATAGAAAAAGAAAGTAAAGCAACAAGAAAGAGCATTTTGCTGGAAACTAAAATGCAGGTGCTCAGATGATTAGATGCAGATGAATGGCAATCTGATATCGGCACTGCATTCAGTTTGTCAACTTCAAGAATACGGACAAAATTAAAAGTTTTGTCTGTATTGTAATTTTGCCTGGTTTGTCCATAAAATTTTAAAAAATAAAGAAAAAATTGTATCATCAGCAACTACAACCACAATGACTTCTGCAACAAAAATTACCCATACCAGAAGCAATGTGTTTGAGGAAATAGAAAAACTACATTCCATCTGGATTGGCGATGAAATTTGAATGCAATATGCCATTAAGTCAAGCAATTATAATGGAAAAAGCGAGAAAAATTTTTAACCATATTCAGAATGAAAAAGGCAACATGAGTGAAAATTTCATAGCTAGTTGAGTGGTTCAATTGATTTAAAACAAACTATCTTCATAACATACAGGTTATTAGAGAAGCAGCAAGTGGAGATACAAAAGCAGCTGCTGCATTTCCAGTGACATTAAAAGCAATCATTGAATGAGAGAATTATAAACATACATTTTTATCCCTGAAGAAAAGCAGGCACCAGGATTTAAAGCTACAAAAGATTGTTTAACACTTATACTGGGTGATAATGCTAATAGATACTTTAAATTAAAACCTCTGCTTGTTTATCATTCCAAAACCCCAAGATTAATGAAGGGAATTTCGAAATTGTCTTTACCAGTAATTTCAGAGTCCAATAAAAGATCTTGGATCGCTATGAAAATTTTCCAGAATTGGTTTATTGAAAATTTTTTTTCATCTGTTACATACTACTGTGAATTTAAAAACTAAAGCTGAAAGCTTTACTTTTGATTGATAATGCTCCAAGCCATCCAACTCATTTGTCCGACTTAAAAACATGCATTCCAGTAGAAGTGGTTTTCCTGCCATCAAATACAACTTCATTAATCCAACCAAATCAAGGTGTAATATATAATTTTAAAGCTTATTATCTGTGATGGACATTCCAACAACTGATTGAAAAAACCGATGGAGCAGATAAAGGATCCATTAGAGATTTTTGGGAAACTACAATATCATGGATATTGTAGACAACATCAATCTTTCCTGGAATGAGGTGACTAAGAAATGTTTGAAAGGAGTATGGAAGAATGTTGACACAAAGGAATCCATTGTTGATGTCAATGGATTGTCAAGCTAGCTAATGAAACAGGGTTGGATAATATAAATGTGCAGGATATTGAAGAATTATTGCAAGTTACAACTATGAAAGTTTTTCCAACAACGATCTTAAAGAGTTAATAGAACAACAGATGCACAAAAATGACAAACTTAGCATTTCTGAAGATGAGGAGCAAAAGGAACTTTCAACAGATTTTCTAAATAAAAAGTCCACTATAATGGAAATTATGGATCAGTTTATACAAAATGATTTAAATTTTGATAGAAGTTCAAAGGCAAGATAAAGTATCATGGATGCAATGTCTTGCTTTTGACAACTGCTTGCTGAATGAAACAGGAAAAGGCAAATGACGTTAAATGACTTCTTCACAAAAAAACAAAAGATGTCAAATGAAGAAGAACCTTCCTCATTGCAAGTATTAACTTCTTTACTTGAATTTTTTTTTTATTTTCATAAATGTTTTATGAATAAATATCAATATTAGCAATATATAAGTCTATAATTAATGTAACAAAAAAGTATTTAACAATAAATGTTGCAAAATAAAACAAAAAAAACTAATAAATTTTATATTCTCTGTTCTGTTTCACTTATTCACATTATTTATGTCTTAAGATGACCTTGTTTATTTAGCACTTAAACTTCCTGGAATGTATCTCCCATGTTAAATGGGGTCTTACTGTATTTAGTTTATCTCGCAATTATCTTTTCCAATGTGTCATATGAGATAATCAGTTTTCATATATTTAATTTAGTTAAAGAGTTAAATGTAATAAATATTTGTGCTAAAATTAAAACTTCCTTACGATGCTATAAATTACCAAATTATGCTAATATGGTTGAAAGGTTTTAACTCATTTTTCAAGTTTTAAGGATTTTTTTCTTGAAGAGAAGGCACATACTTGCTACAAAACATACAACTTATAAATACCAATTAATAAATGAATATAATCTTATAGTATTAAGTTTAATCATTATGTAAATCTGAAAAATTAATGTTCCTATAGGGTGCCTTTGCAAAGTGCTATGAACTTATTAATGTGGAAACAAAAGAAGTCTTTGCAGGGAAGATTGTTTCTAAGGCTCTTCTGGTTAAAGATAATCAAAAGCAGAAAGTAAGTTTGAGAAGATTATTAACTTAAACAGAACAATTAAGGACTATTTAATAGAGAATAATTGAATGGGTTTGTTTCTGTTAGATTTAAAATCTTAAACTTATAATCTACTTCTTAAAAATTTCTTATTTAGATGTCTCAAGAAATAGCTATCCACCGTACACTTGTCCACAAGCACATTGTCACCTTCCATAGTTTTTTTGAAGATGCGAATAATGTTTACATAATTCTAGAACTTTGCAGAAGAAGGGTGAGTAATTTTTCTTACATGGACTGTAAAGTTTAGTTCTCATGTTACACAACCGGTTCTGGTTTTAAATTATAACTTACAACAAAATTTTCTCTCTCAGTCATTAACGGAGATGCACAAGAGAAGAAAGGCTATAACAGAACCAGAAACGCGATACTTCCTTCGACAAATCCTACTCGCCTGCAAGTATTTACATGAAGAGAAGATAATTCATCGAGATTTGAAGCTTGGTAATCTGTTCCTTAGTGATGAAATGGAAATAAAGCTGGGCGATTTTGGTCTTGCCACTCGGGTCGATTATGATGGAGAGCGGAAGAAGTAATTCTTTGTTTCCTAGAGTATTTTATGTTGTCTCAAATTTAAAATGTAATAATAATGTAAAATTATTAGGACCGTATGTGGAACACCAAATTATATTGCTCCAGAAGTTATTAGCAAGAAAGGACATAGCTTTGAAGTTGATGTATGGTCTATCGGATGTATATTGTATGCAAATTTTTATTGTAAAATTTTGTTTTTTGTATTTTCCATTTTTTTCATTGTATTTAATGTTATTTTTTCTTTCTGCAGATATACTCTTCTGGTTGGAAAACCACCCTTTGAGTCATCACATCTGAAAGATACGTATTTGCGTATTAAGAAGAATGAATACCATATTCCTTCAAAGATAAGTCCAGTGGCACGCATTTTAATCCAGAAGCTTTTACGTTCCGATCCTGCTCAGCGTCCATGTGTCAATGAGATACTTTGTGACGAATTTTTGAGCGTGGGTTGGTATTTATAATTCTTTGTACTAAGTATTCATTATTAATTTTTTTATTTGACATTTTAATTATCACTTACCAATGCGCTGCTTTTATGTTCTTTGGAAAAGGCATCATGCCCACTCGATTACCCACTTCTTGTTTAACTATGGCTCCAAGATTTGAACGTACAAAGTCTCAGGTGGACAAATCTTCAATTCCTCTGCCAGCTAGTAGAAAACCACTAATCGATGTCAACAAAGGTAGCACATGTTACAAAATACTAGACTACATTATTAAAAATGTACATTTGTCCTTATTGAATTTCAGAGGAATTGCATACAGTTAAGCCACAAAGAGAAGAATTGTTATCAATTCCAAAAGAAGAAATAGTATCAGAGAATGATGAGAATGAAGACAAAGCAGTTAAAGCTCCAGGTACATGCTACTTCTAAAATTATTGGTTTGTTCCAGAATAAAAAATGATTAACTACTGATAAATTATTTCAGGCAATGTTCCACCTGATTTCTATCTCAGTGATTTGTTTGTCATGCTGACTTCTGTAGTTGCATCAAAACCAGCAGAAAAAGCAGTTATCCAACTAGGTATTATATAAATGCTTGGCAAGAAGCTTGCCCAACTGTTTTTAATTTACTCAATTAATTCTGATACTTACAAAACATGCATATATTATTGTTAAATTTAAGTGTTTAGGATGAAAGATAGTATTGTCAGTAAAATATTTTAGAAATAATATCATCTGTTGTTTTTCCATTTTTCTCCTAAACTCTTCAAATTTTATAGCAAATACACATTTTCAGAAGAATGAGCAATGATTAATAATAGAAGCAATTTCAGGAGATTGTGCACTGTTTTATTTGTAGTGCACAGCAGGTTGCTTGCATGTTTGCATGCAGCTTTAAACAAATAGTAAAACTTGTACTCTGAAAAATCATAATTCATGCTAATTTGTGAATATTATGGATAGTTTGAAGAGATACATGCATAAAAAAATTTATTTTTCTAGATGAAGCAGAAGATCCAGCCGCTGTTCCAATATTCTGGGTCAGCAAGTGGGTGGATTACACTGACAAATATGGTTTAGGTTATCAGTTGTGTGATAACAGTGTTGGTGTATTATTCAATGATAACACTAGGATAATTCTTTTAACTGATGGCCAGTAAGTTCTTAAATTTTTTGTTATTGTTAAAAATAAATAAATAAATAAATATATATATATATATATTTATTTATTTATAAATACATACATTTATTTCTTTTTTCATAAATTTATTTGTAAATTACAAAAACGTACTTAGGACTAATGAACAGGCTTATTATACCCCTGGCATATTTAATTAACCTTTCCAAAATACATTACTGGCCCTTTGTTTTTTGTATGTTGTTGTAACTTATCTGTTGAAACTTGATCTGAGTGTCAGGCCAAAGGTGGAAAATACTACATACTTTTCGAATGTCTGAGGGAGTTCTTGTGTAGTTGTCACCCCAGTCAGTTGTATCTGAGAGTGAATAAAGTTAATTGTTAATTAACTACGTGTTTTTATGTGAATCAGTGTCGAAAACGAAATCAATATAAAATTGGCAACGAGGATTAAGATAGAGACTTACCAATGGAAATTACAATTCAAGATCAAAAGCAGAAATGTCGATCCCAGGAACATCAACCAGTGCAGTTTGTTTCGAACCATTCAGGATGAACAGCCAGTGGAAAACTTACAAGGACCACTTTAATTTTTGCTTGAAGGCAAACCAGATTGAAGATGACCAAGATAAATGTGCTTTATTTTTTACCGTGTGCACTGAAACACTATATCAGGGGTGTCCAACCTTTTTGTTTCTTTGGGGCACATTGGAAGAAGTCATGGAGTTTTGGGCCACAAGTATAATATATATACTTGTGGCCCAAGTATATTTTGGCCTAATCCTTAAATATACAAGTATATTTAAGAATTAACATGTCTAGATTATAGTAATAAGCATTAAAACTTTATTATGAATAAGGATATTTTAAAAAATTACTTCCACAGACATTTTCAATTTTTATTTAAAAATAAATAAATTTATTTATTATAAAGGAGACAAAGAAAAATTTATTTGAAAAACACAAATATTTGTTTTATTTGGATCTCTAATTAATAAAAAATGACAAAACACCATTTTAAATTGTATTTTTATTCAACTAATATATTTATAAATAACTAGGAGTGCTTGTGGATACATGATATTTTTTGTTTTTCCATCTGGTGCATACACGAATAAATCAGTAGGTTTTCCAATGCGTGAGCTGGCCACATACAGTTGTCCATGCGAGAAGCACGGATTCTCCAAATTTAGCCCACGTACTTGAAGCGATTGTCAGAAGTGCTATATTCCCCATTTTTATATATTTTTTTTTAATCCTTTATAATTTTGATTATTTAATTGCTCCTTCCTCTCTTCCTTGGCATGTTGTGAAATTTCTGATAGTTGGATAATAAACTGTTTTATTGTAATTTGTCTTCTTAAATTATTTCGAGTTGATATTAAAATTTGGAATTCCTAAATCTGTAAAATAGGCATATTTCCTCCTACGACTTCGGTTGTTGTTCGGGATACAGTTACGGTTTTAACAAAGTTCAAGCGAATACATAATTAGCAAAAAAAAAAAGTTGAAATAAAGTGATTAAACAAAAATTATTACAAATACCGTAAATAACAGTTCACAAATGCATATATATAGAGATATTTTTTGGAGGGGGAAATGGTCTTCACAATTTGAAATCGATCTAACACAGTAAAATACTCGTATACACGCGCACCATTTATCGTAGGATAAATGTACTATGCCAGAAACCTTCGCGAGAGTGTATTAAACAACTTCCCAAAGTTTCATGGCAATCGGATAAATGGTGTGGTAATGCATGAAGGACAGACAGACGAACAGACAGACAGTCATACATACATTCATTTTAATATAAATAGATATGTAACCCAAAAAGTTGCCAATGCGTCAAATGAAATTTTTTACGCCAAACTAATAAAAGGGTAGCCAAATCTTGCAACACTGGAAGGAGTACTAAATAAAGCTGGAGTTGGGACTCAAAGGATTATAGACCCAAAGCAAGGAAAGGAGAGAAAAGACCCAAGATAAAAAAGTGAGGAAAGTTGAGAAATTAATGGTTAATATTTGCATAACAAAAGGTATATTTAACCTTTCTCGCTGCTTTTTATCTTTTGGCCTTTCTCTCCTTTCCCTGAATTTGAGTTTAAACTCCTTTTGAGTCACAACTTCAGCTTTATTTAATGTACCTTCCTCATTCACACATTTCCAAGTATTTGCAAATATTTCCTTTCCACTCAAAATTAAAATATGTATAAAGGTTTACTGCTTTGTGAAATGTCCTTTTTGAATTTGTGCCATTAAAATAAATAAAATTAAATTTAAAAATTGTCGGTTTTGTTTACACGTTTATTGGGCTGCGGGTTGGACACTCCTGCTCTATATGAACTTGTAGTAACACTCATAGCCCCAAAAGAAACAACACAAGTTAACGTCAATGAAGTACTTAACGCTCTTGATAGCCATTTTAACCCAAAACCTAGTGAAATCGTCGAATCGTTCAAATTTAACCAGAGGTCGCAAAAACCAGGTGAGAGTATCAACGACTATGTCACGGAATTACGGAAAATTGCAATGAATTGCAACTTCGGCGCCTCACTAGAGCGTATGTTAAGAGATAGGCTAGTGGCTGGTTTAAGGGATAAAGGAATACAACACATGGTGTTGGCAAAAATGAACACTACTTATAAGGCCATTTTGGATGCAGCATCTAAAGATGTTAGCCAGCTTGGGTCAGATGGAAGCAACGCCCAAGTGTATAACTTAAAGGCAGACTACAAGAGAAAGAATGAGTCTGCCATATTACAGTGTTTTCGGTGCACCAGAAGTCATAACCCAAATAATTGCCAATTTGCTCAGGTAATCTGTAAATTCTGTGGAAACAACGGACACATAGAAAGAGCATGTATCACAAAACAAAAGAGTGGACGAAGAAAAATTCCAAACCAGGGAAGAAACCAAATTGGGCACAACAGAAAGAGGTATCCAGCCAGAGAGCCAAAGTACACCAAATTGGGAAACATAAAAAATTTAACATCGAATCAGGTAGAGGAATATACATCTCTATTCAAAATACGTGGAAGTAGGATAACACCCTTAAAAATCTTAATTAATATTGAAAAAATACCAGTCATGATGGAAATTGATTCAGGGGCTGGGTACACTGTAGCGAGCGAGCAAACGGACCTTAAAAGAAATTAAAATCCAGCAAGACAAGTTAGAACCGGGAGAAGTCAAATTAGACATGGGCGGATCAGAATCTGGAAGTAGTGGGCACTACAGTGGTGAGTGTACAATTTAAAGGAAGAGTTATGAATCTGCCATTGTTAGTGATTAAAGGAAGTGGACCAGGACTTGTTGGAAGAAATTGGTTTGAACCATTAGGAATCAGAATAGAGAGACTATATCATCAACATGATGCAGAGGATCTGATACAAGAATTCCAGCATTTATTCAATAATTCAGAAATGGGTCTAGATGCGAGGCAGTTAGTTTAGCGATAAAGAAGCTAAGCATATTTTTATGCAGGCAAGACAGGTTCCTTTTGCATTGAGAACAAAGGTAGAACAAGAGTTGAATTGACTTCATCAGTTAGGAGTTATAGAACCAGTTAGAACTTCTAAGTGGGCCACCCTGTGGTACCTGTTGCAAAACCAGATGGAAGTGTATGTTTATGCAGAGATTACTGCTGCACTATAAATAGAGAGGCAATAAAAGTAGATGTATACCCATTGCCGGCCATCAATGATATACCAGTACTTGCTTCATTATCTGGTGGATTTCAAGGAAGCGTACTTCTAATTTCCTGCGGACCAGGAGTCGTCTGAGATACTGAATATCAACATATGCAAGGATTTATATAGAATGAAAAGATTACCATTTGGAGTGAGTAGTTGTCAGCTATTTGCCAGAGAGAGATGGAAAAGATCATAGGAGGTATTCCAGGGACAATTGTGATGATAGATGATATACATGTCATGAGACTCAATGAAGAAGCCCTACAACAAAAGTTGAGGAAAATTCTTAACCAGATTTCAGAAGCTGGACTAAAACTGAACAAAAGCAAATGCCTATTCAAGACAAATCAACTTAAATTTTTAGGAAATTTGATAGATGCTCAGGGCATTCGACCCACACCAGATAAAATTGCGGAAATCCAACAGGTTCAGGACGCAAAAAACAAACAAGAGTTACAAGCATTTTTGGGATTTGTAAACTTCTATGATATAGTTTTGAAAGATAAAGCAACCGAAGCTGAACCATTATACAGACTCCTAGACAAAAACAAACCATGGATCTAGGAAAAAAGAACACAGCAAAGCATTCGTGAAAATAAAAAAGATGCTAACACCAGAAACATTACTGGTTTATTTAAATCATAATGGATTCATATTGTTGTCATGTGATGCTTCACCATATGGAGTTGGAGCAGTACAGTCGACCCCCCCCCTATAACACGGTAGATATGTTCCGATCTTTATGAATCCATTTTGTACAAGTCCTTGCCAATCACAACCCGGCACTTATGTACTTTACAGACTACGGCTGTTTGAAAGGTTTTCTTCCATTAAATTAATCGATTTCCTAGACTAATTCGACTCAACATTTCCAAAACACGTATATTTTTGGGAATAATCCGTATAAACTATGCTATGAACAAAAAATTGTAGGATTACTTACCGAGTGTGCACCGTTCGATGTCGCCATTGCTTAAGCTTGTGTTCGTCGTGGAGCAGCGCACCAAACGGCGGCCGCGATTTCTGATGTTATTTTTCTGCGTAAACTTCATTGAACTTTGGAGACATCATTAATATAAATAATTTTTATGGCCGTTGAATAAGAAATGTTTCTTTCACAAGAAATGTATAAAATTAGTGCTGTATTAGACTTACAGTACCTAATTTACATACTGTACAGATGATAGTAAACTCAATTTACCCGCCTAAACTCTCCGTAACGTGGCGCTAGACGGTGGAAAGTAGTTTGGCTGCTGGATGACGTTTTACCGAACTATAGGGAGGTTTTTTTTTACCATGTTTGTACAGATACCGTCTCAATTT